AATCTGTTTTATAAACGCTTCTCTGTTTATTCTAGCACCGTTTTGTGTCGCCCCCTGCTGATCGAGTTCACAGCGGCAGTTAACGTTAGTTTCCTTAACAACGTGTTATATCCGGAAAAATGTAAAATAAATACGTAGAATAAAAAAAGAAAACGCAGATCACAGGTAGGCTCATATAGTTTGCGTTCTCACCCACAGATTGTTATCTTAACACGGTCTCTTTGAAAGTGTCATAAATGCTGTTGCTTTTGTTTGTTTGTCATAAAGATGATAATTTCCTGACATAAGGGAAAATGAGCGAGATATTAGATACACCATCTCTGTCAGAGGCCTTCATACAATTCCAGTTAGTACGGTGCTTAATATTGTTACTGCTTTGCCTATTCTTGTGACTATTCTTGCCTATATAGGCTCTCTTCTAATAGAATTCAGGTTAAAATGAAAGAGATTGAAGATTTTGAGAAAGAAATAGGCCAACTAGAAGATAAGAAGAAAAAAACTGATAAAGCTGGTATGTTATGTTTGTGAAGATGATGGAGGAAGACTAAAATCAAACACGTGTCTGCAGCAGGAGCAGCTGAGAGAAGAGCATAGAGGTCATGTGCGTGAACTGCAGAAACAGATGAAGGAGCAGGAGAGGAAGCTGGAGCAAAGGCAGCGAGAAGATGAAGAGCAGGTGGAGCGCATGGCCCGAGAGAACCTGGCGCTAAAACACAAGCAAGAGAAAGAACTAGAAGGTAGTTGAGTGACAATAACAAAGTTTTGAGGGAAGAGTTCACTCAGAAATGACTGTCATCATTTACTCACCCTCATGTTCTAACCTACTGTTACAATAAATGGGAACTGAATCTTTCAAGCTTGAAAAATGATGCAAAAATACCATAAATGTAAAATATAAAACAGTTCCACTATATTCAACAACATCTAAAGCCATATTTCAGGAGTGGATTCATGTACTAAGACGGTGATACCAAAGACCAAATTTAGTACACATTATTAATAAAACATACTGTGTAGTTACAAGCAAGCAGATACATTTTAATATCACTGTCTAAGTTAATACTGGCGAGTCGGAGTAAACTTTTAGAATTTTGGGCTGAACTAACCCTTTAAGCATTTTAGAATATTCCCACTTTTCAAGCTTCAAAAAAGATGTAAAATACCATAAAAGAACATTAAACACATTAAAAATGACTCGTGAGCTATATTCATAATCTCATCTAAAGCCATGTATGATAGCTTTGTATTTGGTGTGTTCATGAGAATCAGCAAGGTCCAGTTTGGGAACGAATCATTCAAGAGTCGGATCTTCTCAGTGAAACAGATGGTTCAGTTCATAAAACCGATCTGAATGATTCATTCACGAATTGAATAAGTTATCGAGCTGCAGACTTTCCAGTGAATAAATCATACAAAGCTACAGCTACAGAAAACCTATAGCGTACAACATGCACAGTATGGACTACTTTTATGGTGATATGTGACACATAAATCAAAAATGTACATTGCTGTGCCTCAGTGAGCTTTTTAAAACGTTTGTGTGGTTTATGCAGTATTGTGTTAATATTTAGAACTGTGCTGCAAGCTTGCAAGTGAAGGAACTGCAGGCGGAACAGCAGGTATGGCTGCAGTATAAGAACAAGGGCAGCATTAAAGACCAGCAAAAGATACAAAAACTGGAAAAAGATACTGCCTTAACACAAAGGATTTTTCAGGAGATATTAGGTGTGTTTTCCATTGTTCTACTTAACTCAGAACACAAATATTCATTATGTTTAAATATAAAATAGATTTATAAAAAATGTATATTAAAAAAATGAATGACTTAATCAAAATTTGCGTGTAAACAAAAATGTAAATTGTAAATTTTTATTTTATTAATTTGTATGTAATATGTAAACATCTGCTATGCGAAACAGCTTATTCAGGACAGTACTACTAAATAAAAATAATGAATAATACTTTGTAGATTCTTTAAGGTATATGTAAACTTAAGACAAAAACAGCATTACATTTAAATTAAATAACACAAATAACTGAATATAAAAAACCCAGAATATTTTCAGAGATCTCTGGTTGCGGCTATTGATGAAACTGAGCAAAAGATAGCACAGAGTTTAAAGGATGGAATTCAGCTCGCCTTTGAGGTGCTGCGGACGTTATTGTTGTCTGAATTGTGACTATTACGTCTGTTCTGAGGTACTGAAACTCTCTATGTTTCAGAGAGCAAATGAAAACCTTGATAAGAGTAAATTCGAGATTAAAGAAATGCATTGGCTGAAAAAGCAGGTGTGGTCATGTTTTAGGTTCTATTTTACATACATCTTTTTGTACATGCAAAGATTATACAATGCAGCTAATCGTCCATATCAGGTTCCCCTATATAATGAGAAGGTCGCAGTGTTGGAATCCACCATACAGAAGTTAGAAGAGGAGATCTTGGATCTTGTTTCACAAGTAATGTGTTTCTTGCACAATCTGCTAGCCTTGAGTCCCATGACACCCACAGTATGGACAGGAACATAATGAAAATAAGCCTTGAGGAAACATCGGGTAATCCAAACATCCCTAATAATAGCAGTGTTCAGTCTAAGAATATAAAAAGACTTAACTGAACATGGTGCTTTATAATTATGTTGCATCGACCTTTTATAACCAATAGATGGCATCATAACAGTAGCATACTGAAACAGACTAAAATATCAGGAGAAATCCCTACTTCAATGACAGTTGTTCGGCTAGTGCTGGACCCTTGGAAGTACGCAGATTGAAATCTGCTAGATTTGTTCAAGAGTGAATGAAATTCTATATGATTTCTTCTAGTTGGGAAGTAATCATTTTGAATTATTAGCAAAATATAATATATGCTCACATTCAATCTTATTTGTATGCCTAATATGTCAAAAACGCAAAACATTTCTTATCGTCACATTCTGTCAGGAATTACATGACACATCATAATACCACACAAAGCTCTCAAGTATACTCTCAGTATTAGCAGTTGGATGGAGGATGTGTGACTCTGAATGCTGCCACTGTTCAGCCCTCACTGAATTAGAGGAAGTATTGTCATTATATCCACAATACATTACAGGACATATATCTAACAGCTACACATACTACATTGATGTTGGCCATCAAATACCTGTCATTAATCACCCATAATGCCTATTCCTTTCCAGAGCTGGTTGACAGACCCCCATATCCCCTCCAGCCATTAGCAGAAGCCGAAGGGGCTCAACAGAGAAGCGATGCAACCACGTCTGGTAGCACAACAACTTCCACCCCACCTGACTTTAGCAAGATTTTCAGCAGTCAGACTGATTTCACGTTAATAAATTGTACTACATTTATAGACAATGCTTGCTGTGTTTGCCCCACCTAGTCACATTAAGGGTGAAGATGGCATCAATAAACAGTCATTAATTTTTGATTAGCAATGAATGCATGACTAATGACACGCTACCGCAGAAGGGCCCACTGTGCTTATGTTTGAGATATTATCAGGCAACATACCCAGAAAGGATCTCTGCCAAAGGCAGCGAATCTTAAAAAGGCCCTCTCAGTGGCACATAAGCAAGATAAGATCTGTGGAAACACAGTGTCTGTGATTTTCCCACTGCCATTTCCAGGCATCATGGGCTAGAATATAGATGACACAAGTAGGGATGGGGAACAGTCACTGCCCTTGTTAGAGAAGCCAAACTGGAACCCGCTTTAACGTGCTGCATTTGTGTTTGTGTGAATGGGCCGACGCATCTGGGCTTGCTGGAGCAGATGCTGATGTGCGTGATAGGTAAAGCATATCCCCTGCACACACTGCCGAACGACCCCGAGGAGATGACCTTTGACCTGCTGCAAACTGAAAGGTGGCCGGTTACAACAGAGGTCATCAATAGAAAGTTTCAACAGTCAGTTTCACAGTCTGGAGAATCTGATGCATCTGTGAAATTCAGCAGTTGTTGGATAAGAATTTAAATACAGAAATGGCAATAATTCCCATCGACTCCAAAAAAATAACTAACTAAATTAAATTAAATTAAATTAAATTAAATTAAATATATATATATATATAAATATAAATATATATACACACACACAACACAATGTAAAATAATAATAAAAAAAGGATGAATCAATAGACAGTTCTGTGGAAGCTGCACTTTATTTGAAAATCACCCAAATTCTGCTTCATTTTTTTTTTGTCATATAAACAAAATAGAATCTGCAGGGATGATGCAGTAAATATGCTAAATCAATGGATAGAATCGCCCTCATATTCGGGCCACCCTTTGTGTAATTCCCTATTGGACAGGGCCTGATTTACATACATGGAGCACTGATCAACAGCACCCCCTCCCCCCTTTTCATCACTCTACTGGACCTACAGCTAGACACTACCAACCCCATCCTGATACAGCAACCTGCGTTTCTCGCTCACAATCGCACCCACAAACACACACACAATTGTTCTCCTCCTGGATGGACCGAAAATGAAAGCGACTCTGCACATTCAGGCTGAAAAGGCAGCCATATAACGGTCAAATGTAAAATAATGACATGCCAAGCAGAAAGCAATACAGATCTTCCCCAAATGCAATGTCACTGAATCACAAATGTAGTGCTTTGCTAAATGCTCCCTCACAAAAACCCACCCACCCACCTCCCCGGGGCACAGAACTGACTATGTGGCATAATGATTCATATATTTTATCCTATGTCCGTTACGAATGGAGGGCGGTGAGCGTTTGAGCTACAAAGAAATTGCACTAGACATACAACTGCTTCTGAGAATACTTAGTGCTGTATCAGTCAGTTTATAGGTGTCCATTTCCCCCCATTTTTATATTATATATATATATTTGTTTTCATAATTCAGTCAATCAAAATCCGAATTACACAACCAATCATACCCATATGAATGCATAATTCGAAACACCTCCCGTAAGGAAGAGTAAAAAAAAAAAAAAAAAAGACAATTAATTTCTTTCATGTCCTCCGTGGGTAAATCATAAATAAATACAGACAATACACAAGGAATGTCTACTGCAAACCTCATAACAAAAAATAAAAATAAAGTAGAAATCATAGTAGAAACCAATGTTAGAATTTCTAATGGGTGATGGTTAAATCAGGTAATGCTTGATTGGTAATTGGATAAAGACAGAAGTCCACCAAAATCCCTTCTTGATCCCTCTTTTTGCCATTCCATGGAAAAAAAGTGAAGCCGTGTTTGAGTGAAAACCCACCACATTCCAGCACTCGCGCTCTCTCAACACCCATGAGTTTCGTTACAGATGCAGATCGGTACAATAACTGTTACAGCGACAAATTACAAAGTGAGCGCTGTGTCCTCCATCTCTGGGTAACAGAGTCTTACCCATCCCAACCCCACCCGTCATATCCCATAAAGCCCCTCCCACCCCTCCCTCTGATTCCTGTACAGGTTTGTACTGGGGCAGAACTCTCCATGAAGAGTCGAATAGCCAACTGGAGAGAGATTAAAGGTTTGAGATTTGCCGTATAAATCATCCTTGGGAAGCATCGACCCTCCTTCACCTACATGAACTGCATCTGGAATCAAAGAAATGCATATTTACGGATACCCGTCAAAGTGTCATTTTAGAACATGTTTTTGTATATTTGACACATTGTGATGAACGGACACATTATGACATTTTATACCAAGTCCAGGATAGTAAGTTTGAATGTTTTTTTTTGACGATTGACTGACCATCCTAATTTTAATGTCACTAAATGAATTGAATATGCAAATGTAACCAGTAAAGCAGCCAATAAATGATGAGATGAGTTTATGAAGCTACAACTCAGGTTAACTTGCTACAAAAATTAAAAATGATTAAAACTTAAAGGGGCCATGTCACTTTTTCTTCCCCCCAAAGTTTTATTTGTACCAAAACCATTACTAATGCTTAGAAATAACATGTACTGTACACATACAGCCAGATTTTTCTAAATCGCACATACTCTGTACACTTAGCTCACACTGTCCCGGGTCATTGCTTCACAGTCGGAAAAGAAAAAGATACAAAATAACAATAACTACTGGAGGCCGCCACAACAACAACAGACACCTGCGTTGAGCGCTTGTTTAAGAAGGTTAAGAGATAGTAGTTTAAAAGCGTTTAAAGACATTTTTAGCTCTCATAACTTATGGGGAGTATACACGCAGACACTAGACAAGGATGACACTTTCTAATGCACCTGTCAAAACAACTGATGGATAGAACAGAGTCCCACCCTACATTTTTTTTAATTTTCCGATAATCCTTATCATTCAGATGTATGTCATAATACAGAAGAAAAGATCTGTTGCTACTTCCATTACATCGTGACTGAAAGATTTGATTCCACAGGATATGACCCCTTTAAATCAAAAGGAAATACAGAACAAAATCATGAATGATTTGTAAATGAACTTGAAGAGCTTGATGCTATACCTTTTAAAGCATAAAAATGGCTCTGTTGAAGCTGAAGCTGAATTTACAAATCACATCATTGATGTATATAGAAAACATTAGTATCGCAGCACATGGAAAACAGGGGTAAGAGTTTTGACAATAGAAACACAAACACTGTAATAAAGCAAGAAGCACCTGTTGATCAATCACACACACACAGCAGACACGCTGTACCTAAAGACGCTCTAAAGGAAATCCTTCAGAGACAGCTGTGCAAAAGGGTCCTGTCCCGGAGCTCTGAGAGGACTTGAACTGGAAGGACTAGAGGCTGTAGAGAGCTAGTTCAGAAAGAACAAGAGATTGAAGGGGTCCGAGGACAGCCAGGAAACACTCAGACACACACACACACACACACGAGAGGAAAATTCAGAGCCAGACAGGCTAGAGAATAACAGAGGTTCAGAAAAAGAGAGGGGTATTTTCTAGCCACTATTTCCTGCGCTAACAATACTGCAGAAATGAAGCAGAAATGAAGCAGGGGTGGCACGATATGTATTTCGAGCTGGAATACATATCCTTCCCCAGAGATGTGTAAAGGCATCAATGCTAGTGTTCATATTCAGAACAGCACTGTGATGGCCCACGAGGGTGAACAAACTAGAGTGCATTCTGAATAGAACCTCTGGCATTCTAGAGCTGCTTCTAGAATAGAGCGTGATCAGTCAGGGTTGAGCGGATGGTTCTATTACAAGAATGATCATGGGGCTGGATAAATGCAAAAACATTTATTAAAAAGCGGAAACCCATGGATGCTACTGTGCTCTGAAATGGACAAATTTGATTGGATTAGGGTGTTGTCACTTTAGCAGCAAAAAAAAAAAAAAAAAAAGTCAGAACTCACACAGAAACCTCTTTCAAAACTAGCAACTAGTTGGTCAATCCAACTATTACTTTCATTTGGTCAATGCAAAACTATTAAAAATGACTAGATTTTGTCTGTGAAAATTCACTAAACAATGTGACCGTAAGACTTGTAAATTTCATTGTTTGAGGGTTAACTGATTTGTAACCACATTGTGTGTGAGATCATACCTGTGCCCCTGAGACTGGGCCGAAGGGATTGGCCGGCCGCATCACAGGCTGAGTGTACATCATGGTGGGCTGGGTCATCATGGTGATGGAGCCCATGTGAGGGGGCTAGAAAGTAATAAAACCAAAGTTAAAGGAATAAAGAAATGAAGTGAGCAATGAGTAATGCTCGTCACGGCTGTTGGGACACAGCGTTTCTATCTGGAACTTTAAATGCCAATAGCTTACAAAGTTTCTCTGTTGACATCATATTTTGTTTGACAGTACTGAAACTCTGCAAACAGGAACGTGAGACAGTCTGAACCCACTGTTCTGGAGTTACTGTTTAACTCCACCTGAGCTACATGACACGCAGCAGACAGGAAAAGTGGGGTTTTTGGAGCAACTCATATTTTACTACATTAGTTCTAACTCTTAAAGAAAAAAAGCTGAGGTACACACAAAAATTGGACTGGAGGATTCAAAATGGATGAGTCATAATAGCAGTTATGTAAGTGCAGATGCTGTTATTGAAAAGCGTCATTTACAGAGCGCCATCCGCCCTTTAAGCCATTAACCACGGCCTGTGCTGACTTTACCTGTATGGCTTACTCAACCTCTATTACTGGGTTCTATTGAGCACATTGTAAAGCTGTAAAAGATGGCTAAAAGACTTAACACTCAAATTTGATTATAGATAGAAGTATCATGCCCATGTGCCCCCTCAGTTCAAATTAAATTCAATTAAAAAAAAAAATAAAAATAATAATAAAGAATAAAATAATTTATAAAAAATATAAAATTATAGTTTTTAATTATAATATATTTATTTATTACCAATAATAATAATAATAACACTAATTAATATAATTAAAATACAATCAGGTGCTAAATCAGGTTTTTAAAATACGTCCTCCATGTTTAATAAATAAGCAAACAAGCAAATACAATTATAATTTAAAATATAATAAATTATATGACATAATATCAAATACACATTATTTTATAAAAAAATAAAACAAATATATCATTATGAATTAAATTATAAGGTACTACATTAGAATGTACAACATGGGTCCTCTTTCATGTGTAATAAATACAAAAAATACATAATTTAAATAATAATAAATAAAACTTAAAATATATAATTATGAATAAAACAAGGAGCTACATCACATCTTATGTCCTCTCTCATGTTTAATACATAAACAATAAAACAAACACACACTAGACTATCCAGTCTTACACCAGAAAAAAAAAAAAAAGAAGTGTTTCAAGAACATGCAACACACACGCCCTGATCTTTTTTTCTTAAAGCTAAGGGTTCATGGAGGAGAAAGCAATGTAGTCATCCCTGTTAATGTGATGAATAAAATACACAGAGGAAAAAAAAAAGTAATGTTGCCCTAAGCTCAATAAAGAGGTGCTTCGGACTCTAGAGAGCCTTTCACTGTGTTCTGCACACCCACACTGCTCCGGTGGGGACTTACTTACAGCATCGCTGCAGCCTCTGAATATACAGGAGATGAAAAGCTAATACGTCTGACACTGATGGAGTGAGTGATGCACAAATCTCCAGTTTGCACTCACCACTGCGTATCCCATCATTCCTGTGGGCGTTGTGGCAGGGAAGGCCATGACAGAAGTAGCCTAGGAGAACATGTTCGGCGTTAGTACAGAAATACCACAGGTAAAACATAAGCTTTTTTTTTTTTTTTTTTG